GAGCGGCCCTACGCGTGCGGCGAGTGCGGCCGCCGCTTCGGGCAGAGCGCGGCGCTGACGCGGCACCAGTGGGCCCACGCGGAGGAGAAGCCGCACCGCTGCCCCGACTGCGGCAAGGGCTTCGGCCACAGCTCGGACTTCAAGCGGCATCGGCGCACGCACACGGGCGAGAAGCCTTTCCGCTGCAGCGACTGCGGCCGCGGCTTCGCGCAGCGCTCTAACCTGGCCAAGCACCGGCGCGGCCACACGGGCGAGCGGCCCTTCCCGTGCCCCGAGTGCGGCAAGCGCTTCTCGCAGCGCTCGGTGCTCGTGACGCACCAGCGCACGCACACGGGCGAGCGTCCCTACGCCTGCGCCAACTGCGGCCGCCGCTTCTCGCAGAGCTCGCACCTGCTCACCCACATGAAGACGCACCGCAGCGCAGCCGGTGTGCCCGGCCCGGCGGCCCCCGCGCCCAAGGCTGAGGCGCCCGCCAAGGGGCCACCGGGCGCAGGCGCGGGCACCGGGCTGGGGGAGCGCGGCAGCACCCTGCTGGAGTTCGCGGGCGGAACGAGCTTCGGCTCCGAGCCGACTGCCGCGTTCGCGGGGCCCTCGAGAGCCTACGAGGAGAGCATCATGTGAAGGCCCGAGGCCGACGGAGGCGCAGCCCGCTAGGCCACCGGCCCCTCCTCCGCGCGGCTCGGGCGCCGGCCGCTGCGCGCCCGCCCCTTGCTCCTTTGGCCTCGAGGGGCTGAGGGTCCCAGTCCTGGTGCGGTGCCTTCCCCTCAGCCCCGGCGCACCGCCTCCTGGCCTCGGGCTTCCTTCCTGCCTGACCCCTAGAGCCAGGCCGCCAAGCTCGTAAGGCCGCGTGGAGCGCGAATAGGAAGAGAGCTGAGCGCCGAGGAGGCGAGGGCAGGGGACGGCCGCCCCGACAAAGACTGCGACGTCCCTGGGTTTATGCTGTGAAGCCGAGCGGTAGGGGTGGCAAGCGATGTTATTTATTTTATTCGGAATTCGATTTGGGTGGCCCGGGGAAAGGTGGCTTATGAGTTTGTAATGGGGTTTTACAGTGAGGGAGGGGAAGCCCTTGTGTCAAGGGGAGGGTGGGGTTGTCGAGGGCAGAGCATGTGGCTGTTCCCGGTGGGTTTGGCAGATGACTTCTTTCCATTCCTCAGTCGGAGGCTTCAGAGACCTTCTGGTCATTTGAGTATGTCCGGAAAGTTCTAAGTACTGCGTACGTGTCAAGGGGAAGCCTTGAGGGTTTTCGAAGGACAACATTCCTCCCTAACCCAGGGGGATGGGTATTGAACTGGGAAAGCTTTTATTCTGTCGATTGTGGATATTTATTTCCATCTCGCGTATAGCCTGAGGAATCTGGGAGGAGGAGAAAAAGCCAGAAACTAAATTTGTGGCCCGGGGTGGATGGGTTGCAGGTGTTGGAAGGGTCCCAAGGGAGCTTGGAGCCTTATTCTCGGGGGTTGCTCACTCTCCTCACCCCACTTGAGCACCGATATCAGCCAGGTGCTAGTCACGCTGGGTTAGTTGTAGTCTCAGCCTCTCTTGAGTCTTTTGGTATTCTCATCCGGGGCAGCTGGAGGTGGCATACTCAGAGATCCTTTGGGGGCCCCGTGCAGGCTCCCGTGGCCTTGGGCCCCAGCCTTCAACTCCCTGGGCTGCCACCTCTTCTAGAGCAGGTGGACACATGGGACTCTGCTCTTTTGAGCCTAACGCTCGTTTAGATTTAATAACCAATTGTAAAGTGACTGAGGTTGGTATCAGGATCATTTCTTACATCCCATAATTAGGGCCCTGTGACATCTGCAGGTCCGTTTAACTCTGCTCCTGTCATTATTCTACACTAGAAGCAAGTAGTGTTTCTGTTAGATTCCCATTTCGCAGAGCGGGCAGTCTGCACAGTGGCAGTCCACCTCTCCAGGTGTGGACCTGAGCCCGTGGCTCAATGACAAACCGAACACCCAACTATGCAAGGTCCACACCTGACCACACCCCACCCTCTGGGCTGTGCCGTGGGGAGCCACCGGGCAGGCAGCTGAGGCAAGGCTCATGCAAGACTCCCCCTTCCTTAACCCCTTTTTGACCAGTGTGAGTGGGGCCAGAAAACTGAGATTTGGAAGCAGTTGCATTCCCTTTTAGATCTAGTTCCTTCTGTTTTAGTGTAGACATGGTCTCGGGGCCTGAGAGCCAGCAGCCAGGCTGCTAGGGGCTCGGGGCGGGGTAGGAGGCAGAGTAATGGTGGGTGGGGAGAGGGCGTGGATGGTGGTGGTAAGAAGTAGCCTGGCTGGGTGAGGTGGTGGGTGGGGTGGGGTGGTGAGGAGGGCAGGGGTCCCGAGGAGGCAGCAGCAGTGCTGGGTGATGCCACCTCTGCCCCTGGTTTCTCTCCTTTCCCTGTGGGACAGGAGCCTCAGAAAGGGGCCAGGGCAAGGTGCGCTAGCCTCGCATGGCTGGGGTTTGGCTCCATGCCCATCCTCCTGGTATGCCCCTTGAGTGCATACCTTCGGTGCCCCTCCTGGGCCGCCACTGCTACTGCCCTGCCCTGAAGCTGTTGGGAGGAGGACCTAGCTTTAATAAAGAGTGGAGAAATGACCTTTCTGACTGGATTCCATGTTGTTGCTGTTCCTCGGTGCCCTCAGGGAGGCTCTGCAAGGCTTCAGGCCCATTTGGTTTCTGCAAACATGTTTTTAGGAGTTTCTCTTAACAGAAACTGGAATTGGGCCATGAAGAGTCAGCGCAAGACGAGCTTTTCCCCCTGTTGCCTGTGTTCACCCAGTCTTTCTGGGATCCCCAGCAGGACCCCACACTGCTACATAGTCCTTGTGACACACGCACCTATCTCGAGACATTATTGCATTCAGGATTGTTTTGGTCGAAGGAGAGAGTCAGGTCCCCTTCCTGGTGGTCGAGATGCGCCTGAGTCACAGACCTCTGCTCAGAAACCCCAAGGCCATGTGGCTTTATTCAGGCCCACCTGGTCTGTGCCAGGGCACCTGCTCCCCAGGGCCCCAAACACCTTCCTTTGAACTGATTTGTTGACTTCTTTCTTCTCACCACCTGTTGTCCCCATGACCAGGTCTGACTCTCCCATCGTTTCCCCATGGATTTGAAAAATGTGAACTATGAAGTAAATTCTTTTTTCATATGTGATTTGGAGGCTCCAGAACAAAACCCAATATTTCAGTGGCAGATGGATGTTAAGATTTAGTTAAAATGGATGGCCTCGAGGATCTTAAAGTCTATTCAGAACAGTTAAATTGTTCCCTGATAGAGCTCACAGGTGTCCAGCCAAATACTTGGTTTTAGGGGGGAAAATCAAACAATCCTGATTGTCATAGAAAAAAAGTAGACAGCCTTCCTGGTGTTGAGAGGACTTCTGAATTTCTGGAGTCCTGATTCCACATATGTCAATTTAGCATCTCCCATCATTGCCAAGGAGGAATGGAAGCCAGCGACCCGTGAGATGTGACCCATGAGAGGTGGCACTTGGAGAGCATGAGGCCCTGAGCACCCCCTCGCCTCCACCTGCCTTTGTTGTTTTCTTTTTTCTCTGTTGCTCACACTTCCCCAACCTCCTCCCTTCCCCCCCGACCCTTTCACTTACGCTCTTCAAACATTTCCTTCTAGCTCTTTTTCTCTCTCTAATTGGCTACCTATGGAATAAAGTATTTTGAAGTTTTTGGTTATATTTATTAAATAAAGCTTTATGATCCTTGTTCATTATTTTTTCCTGATTATAAAATACACACTAGTGGTAAAGTTTCCAACAGTACAAAAATGTGTTCCATACACTTCATCTCCTGGGGAGTCACACCGCAGCAGGCACCACGGTTGATGCAGGTGGTGTGGGAGCACGTGGCTTCTATGGACATGGAAATGTCTTAACCAGGGACATACTTGACATATTCTCTTGCAACTTGGCTTTTTTCACTTAGCAATATATTATGACATTCCTTCCCACCTGACAGAGCTACCTCACTCATTTTAACTGTTCCATCATAGCATTTCATTTGGTGATGTACCATGATTTATGTAACTACTGCTCTATCAATGAGTATTTGGTTGTTTCCAAATTCTCACTATCACAAATAGTGCTGCAATGTAGATTCTTGTATACATATCTGTGTAGTTATGTAGATTTTTAATGCGTCTATTTATATGAGATAAAGTCCTAGAGGTGATGTTGCTGGGTCAAAGGGGATGCATATTTAAATTTTTGGGTATAGCTAAATTGCCACTGAGAAAGGCTGACTCCAGTCCAGCAGCATATTCTCCCAGCACAGTGGGAAAATGCTGGTGGTCCATGACCTTGCCAACACAGAGCATCAGCAATCGTTTTAATCTTTGCTTTGTTCTTCGTTTTACGGAGAGATGAATGGCTTGCATTTCTCTATTTTTAACATGTCAATAGGTTAAAATTTAACCTATTTAAAAAACTCATGGCTTTGTTAAGGTAGTTCTGTGGCTGTGGCTATGAAATATCCCTATCCCATCCAAGTTAAGAGCTTCCTTACTTTCTGGTATGACAGGAGGTTCCAGGCTTATCCCGAAAATTTCTTACCCCAAACCTGTAATCAGCCAATTCTCCAAGGAGCCGTGATTCCTTTAGTGGAAAATGATACTTAGGGACTACAATTTGGGTGCTGGGGTGCTCAATGCTCCTAGGTTGATTTTTTTTCCTAAGGAAAAAATAATTTTCCCTCTAGAATTCTATATCCAGCCAAGCTATTACAGTTATGAGAACAAATAATATTTTTAGACATGCAAGAATTCAGAAAATTTACTATCCATTCACCATCCTTAGGAGGCATGTCAGAAAATGAAAGAATCAACCAAGAAAGAGGAAGATGTGGGATGTAGGAAATAGTGGAGCCAGTCCAGGAGAAAGCGGTCCAGGATGACAGCTGTACATCAGGTATGTATTTGATTTGAGCAAGAGGATGGGCGGCTTCTGGAAGTAGGTCTCTGTGGAATAGGGGATAACTGGTAGAGTAGAAAATATGACTGACAGGTTGGACGTGGAAGGGCAGACCTGTGGTGAAAGGCAGGTGAGGAGGTAAAAAGGTGCCTTCGCTAGGAACAGCCAACATTGGCATCTCAGGGCCATTAAGTGAACTCGCTTCAGGCACAAACTGGGTCAGGGAGGAACCCGGGACTTGGTCCCACCTTGAGACATGGAGCGAACGTTGATGCCACTTCCCAGGTCTCATGGCCAAAGTGGCCACCATGAGAATCTGGGTAGTTTTTGTTTTGTAATTTTTTTTTTTTTTTTTTTAGTTTTGAAGTTATGTCTTCATTTATATCTTTGACTACCCTGATCATACTTATTTAGGTACCTGCCATATTGTTCGATAAACTTAATTTGGATCATGCTTTGATTGGTAAATTTGTTGATTGTTTTTCTTGGCATTAGATTTCTTCATATTTTGGAAACTTACTTTGCAGGCAGACTCATTTTGAGTAGGAGGGTTTTTGTTTGTTTATTTTTTGGCCAGTGTTTGGGTTTCATTCTCCCTCTCCCTCTGTCCAGAAGTCCAGCAGTTGTTGGTTACCTCCATGGTAACATGATAACAGTGCTCTGAGATGCTGCTCCATGATGATACCAGGCGTGTTGCAGACGTGGGGAAGGAGGCAGCATGCTGCTGGGCTGGATTCCTGGTCAGGAAGCTGGCTCTCAGTCCCTGTGGCCCACCTTCCTAGGTCCTTAGCTCCTTGCAATCCTCCGTCCCCGGCAGCAGGTGGGCAGCACTTGTTCCCGCTCTCTTTCACCCAGCAAGCCTGCCTTGGGTCCTTTTCTCACCAGGAGCCCTTAAAGTGTCCTTTCCCCCCAGAACTGAACTCCCAGCACCTCCTGCTCACTTCCAGACCTAGAGCCCATGAGACCTTTGCTTCTAACCACTCACACTGTTTCTGCTCATTTTTGGTCCATAGAGATGTTCACCTTGCTTTCCGAGCCTGGCTCTGTCTTTTTAATTATCTGTTTACAAATTTTATCTTTCTCTGCTATGTGATCGAAGCAAAGGAATATGTTGAAGGCAAACTTGCTATCTCACCAGCTCGATGTCTTTTTTATCACTTCCCCTTAACTTTATTGCCTCTACTCTCCCTAGTTGTCCACTCTATATCCATTTCCCCCTTCTTTTTCTTTAACAGAATCTCTGTATTGCTGGAGGTGCTGATCTACATTTCCCAGCCTCCCTTATAGATAGAAGTGGCATCATTATGTGGGGCTCCCAGGAAAGCTCTTTAAAAGGGGCTGATTCAGCTGGGAGGTACCCTTTTTGCCCTTTGACACTTCTTTTTCTTATGCCTACAATGCAGATGTGATGGCTAGAGGTCAGCTGCCATCTTGGGACAATGAAGTCACTTCAGGATGAGAGCCACATGCTGAGATGGCCTAGCAGAAAAATAGCAAGAGCCTGGAGTCCCCATGAGCAAGATCCAAGGTGGGCTGGGCAGTAGGGACATAGCCAAGGACCTACCCCAGGAACTTCCCGGTTAGGATGATCAGCTGGCCACTTCTGCTGCTGGACTCCAGCTGCTGCCGCCGGAAATAATTTCTCAACTGACCATCTGTACTCGCATAATTCCCTCA